ACACACACACACACACACACACACTCCACAGCACACCCGCAGTCACACATTATCTACTGTGTTCTATGGAAGCTATCAACATGGCTGTGGGGACGCGGTCTTCAGAGTCTGTGGTGTTCTGACAATCTTTATGGTGTCTGGATGTAGTGAGAGGGGAGGCAAGTGTGGACGTGGGGTTCTGCTATTCACTATTGCCAGCCGTTCTGCTTTCTGGATTTAGTCTTGTTAAAAATCATAGGTTGTTAAAAGTCCATGGTTAAAGATGAATTATTTTTTATGGAGATAAATATAGGAAAGTATTCCAACACAGTGCAGAACTAAAACCACTAGCCCTCTATTTCATCTTATGGTATGTTTTCTGTGCTGGGGATCAGATGGCCATGTGCATGCTGAGCCCGTACTCTGCCACTGAGCCTCAGCCCTCCCTTGCCTTGCAGCTTGGATTGCGAAGGGTCCATTTGAACCCATGGAAATTGTAGAAGGAATTTTCGGAATCCCTTTAAGAAAGAAGGGAAGTGACGTAATAGCAGTCCCTCAGGCGGAGAGACCTGCCGCAGAAAACAGCGCAGACTTCTGCTTTTGTGTCTGGTGGGCCCTGATGGTGGGTGGGGTGATCTCACCCCTAATAAGGCAGCTGAAAGAAGTGATCTGTTCACCACAAAGGTGTTGTTACTAAATAGGAAGAAATTACATGAGTCATGTCAGGTTGGTTATGGTACACATATGTAATACATGTAGTGAAGTCTTACGTAGTAGCCTGAGGTCATATTCTCAGAGTCTCAGGTGATGTGAGCTTGTGGTTGAATATGAACTATGGAGACTGCCACCCAGGTCTGTGCGTACAGTAAGGTCATCCTTATAGGATGTATATGAGAACATTGGTAGCCAATACATTGAATGTTAGGATGCTTCTCTCTCTGTCTCTTTCTGGTTAGTGAGGTATATTTCAATTTCATGATATATACTTATAAAATCTATAACCAAGACATATTTTAAAATGTTGATCTCTTGAGACACCATAGCACATGTTGTTTCTCAGTGACAGTCTCATCGATATGATGGGGATTCCTCTGAACTCACATGAGGACTTCAGGAGCCCTCCCCCCCCATGGACTTAGTGTATTCATGAAATGTGTTCTGCTGTGGCCATCACCACAATCAAATTGAGAATATTTCTACTGCCTGGAAAGAAATTCTAGACCCAGTGACAGTCACCTCCTTAGCCGTCTGGCACAGTCTCCTTTCTGTCCCTATGATGTGACCTTTCTTTTCCTCCTCTTCCTCTCCTCTTCCTCTCCTCCTTCCCTCCTCCTCCTTTCCTCCTCCCCTCCTTCTCCCCTCTTCCTCTCCTCTTCTTCCTCCTCTCTTCCTCTTCCCCTCCTCCTCCCATCTTCCTCTCTCCCTCCCCTCTTCCTCCTCCCCTTCTCCCTTCTTCCTCTCTTCCTCCCCTTTTCCTCCTCCTCTTCTCCCCTTTTCTTCTCTTCCTCCCCTCTTTTTCCCTTCTTCCTCCTCCCCTCCTCCTCCCCTCATTC